TACAATAATTAATAATTAAATTTATAATTATTAATTCATGTATCTCTTCTTATTCTTTGGTTTCATTTTACCTCTCTTCCTTATCACCTGAATCGATGCTATCGTAGAAGCTAGGCTCTTCAGGATACTTTTTACTGTCCCAAGTGTGTATCTTCTTCACCCACTTGAACCATTTTAATAACTTCTCCCAGACCTTAGGTCTCTCCTTCACGTCTTCATCATCCTGAGAAAAAACCATATATCTTCATTTCTTCATTCACTTATAAAATTGTGTTTAGGATTGGGAAACCTACCCAAGCTTTAACAGAGATGGTGATGAATCTTGTTGGTAACTTCAAGTTCATCACTTCAGCATATTGAACTTTGATCTTCCAAGGGATGTGCAGTTTCAGAAAGTAAGTCTTCCCATCGAAGGAATTTTCTTTTGGTTCCAATTCTAGTTGCAGGCCTTCTTTTAGTAAATTCTGTTGGAAACATCGCCTCTGCTCTTTTCGACGAGCTTCGATCTCTGTCATCACTCCGTTAGTGTCTTCTTGGTAGACCAGCACCATGTCAATCCTCCTTCGACCGTCTCTATAATCGTTCAAAGTCAGTCCAAATAATTTTTGATTACAAGAATTATTGAATTTCTTAATTATAGGAAATTAGGTCGAAATTATTTTAGAAAATTGTAGGGGGGATGAATTTCTTCTGTTTTACACACCGGAAGTACAGAGTCTCGGTGTCCAGTTCTGCTTCAGATGATATCTTTTGTAATAATGAATCTCTTGGTATGTCGTCTGGAAATATTGGCGTTTCTAAGGACGAATTCTCATCGGGGGTCGTTGGGACCGTCAGTTTAGGACCTGTTCAACAGAAACGTGAACTAAATTTATTGTTGTAAAACATGGCGTCTCGTTTTGATGCATTTCTTCATACAAAACCAGTCATTTTGACTGTTTTGGTAGTTCTAGTTTTAATTAGAAATGAAAAGATCATTTTATTTATATTATAAACTCCAAATTATG